AATTATAGTTAAAAAAAAAGTATTTATTTCATTTGCCATATCCAAGTGAGTTTTACCAACCTGGCATCTGTAAGGGATGAAAACAACTTTTCTTTATAGTAAAAAAACTATAAGTCAAAAAATTTGTTGCACATCCCATGAGTTCTTCAACTAGGTTACACACACAACACAAAAGAAAAAAATCCTTACTTTCTCGAATATTTTAAAATTGAAAATGCTGCAATAAAATATAAAATATTCAATTCAATAAGTCATGAATTATTTTAAGGATATAACTAGTAAAATAAATTCAAAGTATTCAGAAGCAACTAATTAGATTTAATTATTTCCATACAGTTTATACGTAAATTTTCATAACAAAAATTATTTGAGTTATATTCGAAAAGAAACTCAAAATAAGAGAAATAATTGAGTAAACAGTTCTAGCTCTACCAATAGTACTATGAGCAGAAGATTAGCTGCAAATAGCTGAAGAATACGGAGGCGGCAGGATAGAAGAAAAGAGCAGATGTATAGCATTAGAAGATAAGCTATGTGCGAAAAAGTTATCGCCAAGCATGTTGCAATGTAGGCGGAAAATGCATGCAGATATTTATAGCAAGGGTGAACATGCTAAATAGAAAAAGTTTTGAGTCAACCCCTGGATCCCAAAAATTTGATGAGCTAAAGCAAGAGGCCTGTACCCTTAAGATACGGGAGACGCCAGTTGTCATTAACTTTGAGCCGCACATCGGGCGCACCTTGACTACCGGTTTGCAAGTATATCAGTTAGTAGTCTCTTATTTTAAATTTAATATTATTTATTTATTTTTTTTTAATTTCTATAAAAAACATTCAACAAAATAGAACTGTTTAGGTCTAAAAATTTGAAAAAAATATTTCACATTCAGTTCATAATATTCATTTGGATGTGTTGAAATTAATAAATAATTAACTATACATTAAAATAAACACTGTCTGTTGTATATTAGCATGCTAATTCTAATTTATTAATTTATGCTAAAATATAGTTTTCTATAATGGTTAAACGTTTAAGATTAAAATGCTAGCTAACAATTATTTAATAAGTATAAGATTCTTACAAACAAATATTTAAATAGAAAAAAATTTAAGATTGGCTTAGTTTAATTCGCTTTTTTATTGTGTTATATAAATATTACCATAAATACAATTGATTTGATATGCGCCAAAAATTTATAAAATTAAAATTAAAACTTCAAAATCTAAGTATTTTTGTACGTTTTCCAAATAAAATTCGTAATATTTTAACTACGTCTATGTTAGGATATATTTAAGAACCACAACAAGCTCTCTGTACACACAAATAAATCCCTATATAACACATAACCTAAAAAAAATTCAATAAAGTTCTCTCAACTGCAAACTTTTATTTTCCATCATTACTTACTAAAATAAAAGAATGCAAAATAAAATACATATACTCGTAACTGTAAAAAAATAAGGATAGAAAAAATATCAAAAACAAACAAATTTTTCATGTTTTTTTACAAATTGAACCAATTTTGAAACAGAGAAAGGACATAAAAAATGTTATAAGGTTTGTGTGTTATATGCATGTACGAGCATACATACAGATATAGATTTTACATTTCTATTTTAATGAACACATAAGAAAACAACTATAAATTGTTTATCCCAAAAACCTGGACGCCAATTCGTAAACAAGACCTATACATGCTTGAAAATACATATTCATACTTTATATCTATACCTATATGAAAATCAAGGAAGAATTGAATAAAATACACAACTCTTTTTTTCGGGAAAAATATTTTCTATTCTACAATAATTTTTCATTATTAACTAGGTTTTAGAATTTACACGTAACAAATGTCATTTTAGATTGTTGATGGACTTGGCTTTATTCCAAACAAAGACTACAAAGAAGAAAAAAAGATTTCAATAAAATTCAAAAATAAATCAAGAAGTGGTATTAAAAATTTTTTATAAAATAAAATCACTAGTCAATTTCAATATTTTGTAATTAAATTGAATTTGAATGAAAACTTGAGCACAAAAGATGAAACATGACTCTAGTGTGAGTAAAATTGCAATGTTAATATTTTCTTGTTTCTCAACTGATTTTAAATGTAAATAAATAAATAAAGTAAAAATAAGATTTTTTTATTTTAACTGTTCCAGTTAACAATAAGTTACCAAAAACTATCAGAAAAACTATCAGAAATCGGAAGATAAAACAATGATGACCATAAAATGCCACCTGTGTCGTAAAAGTGAAATAATTTGACAGTTTGTATTATATAGCACACGAGAGTACAGGGAGAAATCATCTTGTTTTCGGGAGGAAAAAGGATTGAGAATAGTATAAAGTACATGTTGAAGTTCTAATTGTAGCGTCCTTTATTTTTAGTATTTAAAATTTTTTGTGTAGTCTGGTGTAGGACAAATAAAACAACGTTCTTTAACTTTTCACCAACTTTAAATAATCTTTTAATCGCTCTCGTGACCTGAGGTCTGATTAATTCCATACAACGAATTACCAAAATAAACAAACGGTGTTTTTCCGGATTTAGAAAATCAGGATTACATTCTTGCTGCTTCTCTATGCTTCTCTTTCTTGGATAATCCGTAACAAGAAAAAGAAGAAAATGATAAAAAAATATAGAATGAAAAAAAACCCTGTAGAAAATTAAGGATATTTTAAAGACTGAAGTTGTTGTTTAATTGAATATAGGATTTAGGATTTAAATTAGATTTTTTCAAGTATTGTATTTGATGTTATTATGAAATCAAAAAATTTCAATTATCCTAATCTGGTCTCTTTATTTTAATTTTATGCACAAAAATACACTATATACTTCTTAAGAGACACGTTACACATGCAAATGTTATGGTAAAACTATAAACTAAATCAATTCAATTGTTTTGAATTTAATTGATACCATTGAATTATTGGAACTTCAAAAATTTTAATAGAACCTGCCATTTGTTACTACTTTAATTTTAGAAATAACAGAAATTAATTTCTGAGATCGTTGGAGTCATGCTACCATGTATCGTGTTCTATCGAATACCAGAGTCAAATGAAATTGTTTTGCCATAATCCTTCATATTTGTTTATAATTTATAAGATAATTTTCCAATTTTCAATGGTGAGAAGTGAATATTTTAAAGTTGTTTTTGTGCATTTATTTTTTTACTATTGAACAATCACTCACAATGTAAATACACACGTAAAAGGGTTAAAAATAAAATTGCTGTAATTTTAAATTTTTAAATCTTTTTCACACCAATTAACGTGAAAAGAAAAATTTTATTAAGGGTCCTTATTTCAATTTCTCAATTTTATTCCTTTTATTTTTTTCACTTTCTTTTATAATTTTGCAAAATTGTCCTTAAATTCTATTGTTTTGTATAAATTTATTACTTTTTGCTACTGGTAATTTTTGCAAATTTTATTACTTTGTAAATGTGAGTATGTGTATATGTTTTACTTATATTAAAGGGTTAAATTTTTTTTGAAAATCAACGTTAAAGGATTTATTATATTTGCATAAACATACTATATACTTTCCTTTGCAAAGTTTTATGAAGAATTATGAAAAATCGAGATTTCTAATGAAATTTTATTGCCGAAAACAAAAATTTATTTACGAAAAGTACTATGCACTTATATAGGTAAAAATACCTTGGAAATTCTTTTGATAACGAGAACACACCCTTTACTAATTAGTTCTTCATAAAATTCAGTAAAACACATTTTTTTTTTCTTTGTACATTATTCAGACAAATTAGTAAAAGTCAAACTAAATCGCACGTTATTATTGTTCAAATTTTATTGTTTTGTAGATTTTTAAGACTTAGAATATTGGCTTGAAAAATATGTATATGATGCATTTTGAAAGAATTTTATTATTACGTCGTTTCTGAGTTACTTTTTATTTCTTTTGAATATAGTAAATGAAATTTTTTAAAACTTACTAAATCTTGCGCATTTTTTTATCCAAAAATAGAAAAAGTACTTGGGGACGAACAGGCTGGACTCTGAGAGAACTGAAGCTATATAGACCCTAACACTCCCAGAATTATTATAGATAAATCTAATAAGTTGAGTGGCCCCCATACTGCACATTTGTTGATTTCGAGCAACCATTTTACAAAATTAAACGTGAAGCCATTTGGAATGTGTTGCACTATAAGGGCATCACAGTGGGCATAATTGTAAACATAATTAAGGCCACGAACGAAAATACAAATTCCAGAGTTTTATATGGCAGTCGATTGCGCTTATTCAAATAACTTCCAGCGTCACGCAGAGGTGTACTCCATCACAATTTCTCTTCATCTCGATGGGTATCGAATTAATGTTGACCACCGGGCTGAAGGGTTTTGAATATGCAGGCGATATCTCATTCTTCGCTCATAGTTATATCGATATGCAGACCAAAATTAATCTCCTAGAACGGGAGAAACCAGAAGGACGGAAGGACGTGTGCTAATTCAGCTGTCCAGATGCTGGCAGCCATCTGGACAGCATCATGGCAGGCGATGGAGAAATGAAAATGGACATAGACCAAAGATTATTGGAGTCGCCCCACTTGGATTGTGTTGGCGGACACAGCATATATCAATAAAACAAAACCATATATCAACAGTTGCCTAAGAATAATATGTAGAATATTCTACCCCGGAATGATAACAAACAACGTATTTGTATTTGCATTTATTTTCATGTTAGGCAAGAGACCTTTATTTGTTATATAATTATGGATTAAATAAATAAAAGGGAATAAAATATTGGCTCAATTCCCCTTGAATCGCGATTACAATCAAAATTGAATATAAAACGTAATTTTTTCCCGAATTTTTTTTTGGAACGGTTTACTCAAGGTCCTGCGGCTTAAACTCTTGCTTAAATCAATAGAGTTCAATTACAAATCTGAATTTAGTCATGGGAAAGGAAAAAGTTCTGAAAACCTTAATTATTGAATAAAGTATTCTCGTGCGCTTTAATTTTTTTTATTTTAAAAATTTTTGCTTTATCTTTATACATACATGTATTTATATTTAAAAATATTTACTCTTTTTAAAATAATTTTTAACAATGCTATATAATTTTTTACTTTATTTTACATAAATCTGACAAATTTCATAGAGAACTGCATTGTGATTGCCATATTATCATTTTTGATGTCCTCATAAGACCTTTCATTACTTTGCTACCAACTTTTCTCAATTAAACTTGGCTGATGATACATTCTTTTCCACAACTGCAAAAAATTGGTTTCTTTCACCATTTTTTTAACCCAATTTTATAAAATTAAAATTGCAGTATTCTACGTTTTTTTAATTGCTTTATAACTTGCAAATAAAAAAAAATAAAAACCAATTTTCAATTGCCTTGTATCCAGCATTTTTGTGTAGAAACACATTTTTTGTTTTAAACTTTCTTTTAATATTTTTTCTAACTGCTTGGGAATTTTCCTAAGAATTGCATTCTTTGCAACATATCTGCTGGTGTAATGGTTGTTGGTGAAAGATGATGTTGATTTTGCATTACTGTTGAATAACTTTGTTGTGAAACAGCAGCTGCAGCAGCAGCAGCTACAGGATTATAACTTGAATAACCAGATGCCGACGATGAAATAGTTGGATGATATGGTGTCATTCTTGAATATAGGGAAGCAGCATTTAAAAAACTGGCATATGGTGAGCCAGCAGCAATTGCAGACAGTTGTGCTGGATGATACGGATGCCCTGGATAACCAGCTGGAAACATAGGTGAAAACATAGCTGCTTGACGGTATGCAGCTAAACGTGAACGATGTGCACCAGGATTCTTACGACGTAATTTACCAGTTGTTTCACCAATGAATACATCATCAGCACTTGGATCTAAAATCCAATAGTTACCTTTTCCTGGATCATCATAACTACGTGGAATTTTTGTAAAGCATTTATTTAAACTTAAATTATGGCGGATTGAATTTTGCCATCCACGCTTATTTTTTTTAAAATATGGGAAACGATTCATTAAATATTCATAAATTCCATTTAAGGTTAAACGTCCTTCTGGGCTGTCTTGTATTGCCATCATTATTAATGCGTTATAACTATATGTTGGTTTTTTATTTCCATCACTATCAATTTCTGGTTCTTCATTTGGTTTATTCTCATTCGCTGATTGATCATCGTCATCATCAATTTTGTCAGATTCATCATTTGATGTATTATCAGCAGCACTTAATGGTGTACTCGTTCTTGACGGTTGATGATGGTGATGATGATGCAAATTGTGATTATTATGAATATCAAAATCAACTGACGATGATTCAATATCTTCAGCTTCAGCAGATTGTAAACTATCACAGCAACGATCTTCACTATTATTACTTATTTCATCAGATTCATTATATTCAGTTTTTATTCTTTTACAAATATTATTTGATAAGATTGCATCAATTGAAAAATTTGTTTTAAAATCCATTGTATTCTTTATCATCATTTTATAATGTCATAAATTTTTTTATTTTTATTTTTCTTTTACTAATGAAATTTTTTTTCAATTTTAACAAAATAAAAAAAAAGAAAATTTGATCTTTTTTCTATATACTTGTCCCAATAAATTCAAGTGAACTACTGAAAATATCAACTCGAACTGACTTAATTTCTCCCCTCATCTGGTATTTATACTAAAAATTTTTAACAGCAACAACACCACAGGGGTTCTTAATTCGAAAAAAAAACTCCGCCTTAAAATGTGTATAAACATTTTTATTCGCATATGAAAACAAAAAAACATACACATGTGTATTGGAAGCAATAATAGCCGTATAAAATAAAATGAAAATATTTACACAAAATACTATTTGTGAGAATGAATAAGACATACACACACAACTTGTTTTATTGGAAAAAGAAATAAACAACAATACTGTAAAAGAAAAAGAAAAATAAAAATAGAAAATTTCTCAAATACATTGCAGCAGTATACAAAAAGTTAATGCTTATATTGATGTAAAAGAATGTGAAAAGAGATTGTTGCCAGGATTTCCTATAATAATATTAAGAAAATAATATCAAGAACAATGAGTAAAAAGTATAAAGACGATGTGTATACTAAGAAACAGTATATTTAAAGCATAATAAACAATAACAATAGAAGATTAAATGAATATTATATCTATGTGAAAATTATATCTATATTATATCTATATGTGTATATTATGTTATATAGAAACATTTGAAACTATTTTGAAAATAAGAGAGTTTTTGAGATAAGATAAAAATTATTAGGTACACAATCATGAAGGTAAACTCTCAGAAACAGTTTGTTTTTATACTGAAATACCAAATGAATGAAAAGCGAATATGAAATAGTATGAGTAAAAAGGAAATGAACTGTGAAACATGCGTTAGAAAAAGAAAGATACATGAATAGTTGTTGGATTTTTTCTTCTTCTTTTACCGTCCTACGTTGTTCAGTTTATTTTTCGTTTTATTTTGTGTTGTTTGAACAATATATACATATATTTTTACAAATATTTGGAGAGAATTTCATTGGAAGTATGCATATACCTACTTTTTGTTTTTCCATGTTTTTATAGGCTTGAATTGTATTGTTGTCCAATACTTTACCAAATATTTTAGCTTTTGTTTTCTCAATATTTGCATTAGGGGATATAAATGTGCATCTAAAATGCATCGTCTTCAATAACAATAAAGAAAAACGAAGAAGACAATTCCAGTGGTAATTGTGATGTTTTAGTTTTGATTTTTTTTCGTGTTTCTTATGGAATATTTTGTATGTACTACGTACATGTGAAAGAAGCGTTTTCATATATATAACATACATATGTAGGTACATATTTACGAGTTGTTTTGTTATTATATTGTTACTTTAGTAAATTATGTATTATTGATAGGTGTACATTAGGCATTAGTATGCTCACATAGTTGATGGCTTGTTAATTTTGTTGGTACATTAATCACATATTTTTTTTTATATAGACGATTATAATAATTATGAATACGAGCACTGCAGATGGTTGATCTGTACAGTCTAAATGAAAAGAAATTTTTTAATATTATTTTAAGATTTGGTTTCAGTTTTTCTTTTAAAACGGGATACACATATTAACATAGACGGAAATTATTTATGCACACTACATTCCTATGTATATAAATATTAAGCCTCCATATGTAAATATGGCATGGGATAGCAAATTATTAATTGATTAATGATTCAAAAATGATAATGATAAAATGCTTCTCATTTAATAAATACATTTAATAAATACATATAATAAATATGTACTTAAGAAATTTTTTATTTTGAATTCACGTTAGGACATTGAGATTTAAACTTCTAGTAATTGAAACGATTTTTAATATTTGAATTAAAAACACTGGTAAATTTAAAATTTAAAGTATATTTGAAAACTTTTGAAAAAGAGACGTCAAAACCCCACAGCCGATTTGAGAGCAGACTTCTTTTTCTAGAGTAAACTTCCGATAAATAAAACAAAATCAGAAAAGTTCTATAAGTGTCTAAGATTTCGTTATTTCAAATTTTGAAATCGCCGAACTGAACAATTGTTATAGAAGAAAATCAGGTTTGATAAAGTACGTATGTAACGCACGAAATATATTAGCAAAAATAATAGTTATTTATTCCGAGTAAAAGAAAGCTTTCTTTTCATACACCTAAAAAAAATTAAAAACTGTTGTTTTAGGGATATTGGGCTTAATCAACAGACATTAATTTATTATTTATATATAATTGAAAATATCATTTAATTTTCAACATTGACAATAAGTAAAATTTTTACATTTTATCGCTTTAAAATTTATATGAGCAATATTTAAGATTAGAAATTTAAAATATACTCGGAATTTGTAACGCTGATTTCAAAACTTACCACCAACTGCATTTTATGATATGCATACCATATCACATATAGAGAGGAACCGAAGCAAAACCCAGAGCAGAACACCTCACAGCAGCTTGTTTTACACCAGACAATAAATGGAAATTCTGAATGTCCTTTTTAATTTTTATTTATTTTTTCCTTTTTTTCATAAATTTGATCCGCTTTAATGCATTTATGCATTCCATTTTTTCTATTTAATGAAACCGATTAATGCAAGTTAGTACTTTTCTATTATATCTTTAGAAATTTAAAAATTTTAAATTCGATAAATTTGAAATGATTGATCTTAATGTATCGCAACAGTGAAACAAATATGTCAAAATTGTGTCCTTTCATGAATTTATAAAATTTCCTGTTGGTTACAAACAAAAAAACAAAAATTTACTTCTATTTCATTAAAAATTTCGTTTAGATTTAGGAGATTTCTTTTTATGGATTTTTTTTTTGTGTTTTAGTGTGTATGAAAATTTTTTAAAAGAGATGTCAAACAGTTTGAAATCGGTTTTCAAAGAAAAATTGCTGATTTCAGAAAAAAAATGAATAAAAACATGAAAAAGGATCTTCTGAATTAGTCCTTTTTTTCAATAAATTGTGAGCGTGTCAAAAGGGATAATATGTGCATTAGTTGATTTTATTCTCTTTTTATTTTATACAATTGATTTTTTAAAAATGCATGCATGTTTCTTTGTTCTGAATTTTTATTTTTTTTTATAATTTGCAAAGTACTATGCATAGAAAGTCTTCATGGTAGTGTGCAAGTATTAAACTAATTAGCAATTTCTAAAAGGAAGTTACTTCTAAATTAAAGAAAATGTATATTTCTTACGCCTGAAATTATGCAAATTTTTATGAATTATAAAACTTGCATGAATCAATAATTGCGAGGAATTGAAATGAGGCTTTGCGATATTGTTAATGAAAAACATATGGTTGATCTACTTTTGAACTTATTAACTTTCCTTAATGATTTTAAGGAAAAAAACTTAAAAAAAATTTAACCATTGGCCAATTCCAACCATTGACCATTGTCATTAAAACATAACATCAACATGATTAAAAGACATACCATTTAATTTAAATCTAATTTTCTTTTTATATTTTTTGTCAAAGCAGTTAATGAGAAATTTCTTTTGGAAAAATGTTATTTTAGCTACTTCTATTACTGCATCAAAATTATTTTAAGTTCAAGCTGTAAAACAAATAATATTCTTACGAATTTGAACCGGATATTCCTGATATATTTTCTTTACTAAACTACTTCTTACTTTGTAATAATGATTTGATTTTGCCGCCGAAACAGTGACAACAATTTAATTCAAAATCATAAGGATTTAAATTGTCGATAAACAAAAAGTAAATTGAAAAAAAATTTTAAAACAGCATTTGCTTTGTCATTTTTTTATAAAAACAAAGTCACAAAAGTTAAACGGATCGACATAATGGTGCTTTTCTATTTTTTTTATCGCACTAATCGGGTTGACATTATAAATATGTTGTTCAATTTATAATTCAATGTATTAACAATTTTATCAGAAATTTGATTGACACCATAGTTTCTTAGAAATTTTGCAATAATAAGGCTTTTTAAAGGTAAGATTTTTGAAAATATTCAAATATTCCTATAAATTCTTGCTTTAATCTATTGCATATAAAACGAAAAGTTAATCATAGCTGCTCAATTTTCAAGACTTTCTCTAAAATACGTAAATATCCTAATATTTCTTTGTACAAATATTAGTTTCCACATTTCTTTTAAACAATTTTATTAAAATATACAAAAAAAATTGCATAAAGTTAAATAAAAGAGCAAAAAATGCCAAAAGAAAGAACTAAATATGGCCAGAAGAATAAAATATTGAAATGATGATTTCAATTGAATTGTTTAATTTCGTATATAACTACCACATTCCGATTTGAATAACTACAATGAAATCCGACAATCACAAAAAATAATAATGATGAAGTTTTACACACAATAAAGGCAAGATCATTTTTTTTTCTTTATTATTGTGAATTTTATTTTTTTTCTTTAATTTGTTAGTACCTAAAGAAAAATGCCGGCTCAAATGGCTAAAATTGAGTTGTAGTATATATTTTTAGGTTATGTTTTGATTTCTACAATGTTTGCCTGGTGGTTTTCTTCTTTAGAGGAAAGAAAACACTCATAAAAGAATTTCGTCCTTATTTTCTTTTTATTTTGACTTTTTTATTTATGTCGGTTAATCGACTACATATTTTTGATGTCTATTTCTTTTATTAAAAATTGTATCTGTTTTATAATATTTTTTTTCCAATTTTAACTTTTGTTTGTATATTGTGTTTCTTTTAGATTAAAAATTAATGACAACTTCGATTGTCATTTATTTATATATTTTGGTTTTTGACATTTCTATGTCGGTACCGGTACATGTACATTTCTATGAAGGTACGTGTACGAGCTAATGGAGATTTTTATGTAGAAAGCCAGAAAAAAAATGATTTTCTCAATTACATAACCTAACTTTTTTGATTATTTATTTTATAATCTATAAAAATGAGAATTGCGTTCCTTAAAACTGCTCTGATATAATTATTACAACAGTGGAAAAAAAGCTCATTTAAACAACAATAAATTTCAATATAAAAATTTTCATTGGTTATCACTGATCAGTAAAAACAAAAGTTGGAACATTAAAAAACAATACATTTGTGAAGATATCAGCAATTTA